GTTTATGCGCGTATGTGGTGTGTGTGTGTGTGTGTGTGTGTGTGTGTGTGTGTGTGTGTGTGTGCGCGCGCGTGTGCGTGAAAGAGAAAGAGAGAAAGAGAGAAAGAGAGAAAGAGAGAAACGTAATATGAAGTTCAGTATCAAGTGCGTATCGCGTTACAAGTCACCTGATCTTTCTCGTACCGAGAAATCAAACTCCTTCGATTAGAGAGATTGTGATCATTCGATTCGTCTTATCGAGCGACTTGTGGGAAAAAGACAGACGAGGGGGGTAAAACGAGATGAATCACTTCGTACGAAACATCGTTCGTTCAATTTCGGAAATCTGTTCGGAAATCAGTATTTCTCACTAATACGAGTATACCGCAATTGTGATTGGTATCACGTGTATTTCGTGTTAACAAGTCAATCTGACTCGTGATAAATTCCGAGTAAATGTCTCATTAGAACACACGCCCCGTCACCGGATCGATCCTATCTTTAAAAAGGGCCGAGGGAGGTGGTCGCCTTAAAATACATTTCGGGACGCGCGCGTAATCGCGATTGCCGCACTCTCGCGAGGCGTTCGTTCGCGCGCGCGCGCGCGCGAGATGGAAGGCGAGGGGGGGAAGTTTTCCGCAAATATTACAAGAAGAGCGCGTTGCGCGGTGCGGGAATGCCCACAGCTGTTCCTATAAATAACAACCCCCGATTTGATGCAACCACGCGAGTGCTCGCACGCGGCAATTCTGCATCTTCTCTCGCGAAAGCGCGGCAACTATGGTTATTGACCCCCGTGCAACGTGCACGCGGCCCGGCACTATTTCCGTTCGTGAAATAATGGGTCCGAGCCATCGTAGCGTGCGATTTGAACGCGCGCGAGATAGACCAAGGAGTCTCCTCGTGCTCGGAGTCCGACGTATATCGGACATATACGCGCGCGATTGCACGACGGAAATTATTTATTCAATATTATTCGTGTAAAATAATACTGGGAGGAATATTGAATATTTCTTATTTGCCTTTGGACGATATCGTTCGAAATTTCTTTCTTATCTGAATAAATTTCGTCATTTTCGACAAAGGCGGGTAAAATGTAAATTTTTACAATGTAATTTTATTTCGATTAATTTTTGTACATAATTATATGTCGAGGAAAAAATTCTATTACAAGATAAAAAAAAAAACTCTAAATCCGATTAAACTTTCAACATTCGGAAATCGACCGATAAAGTATAAAATGATGCAATTTGACTGTAACGTCGAGCGTAGTAAATGAAAATTACGCGAATGGCGGAATAAGAGCAACGCGTGCGTTCGCATTAAAACGATGTGTATTACGATTGAAGATTTGATTATTGCACATGGCACGGGTAATTACGTTCTACCTGACGCACGGCTTTATTCACGGCGAGCAAAATGCAATAAAATATATTATACAATGCGAAGCGGGGGATTTATCCGCGGATTACATTATCCATCACGGTCGAAAGATTAAATCTCCATAAATTATTCGTTGTACCAACGATATTCATTAACGACGCGGTTCAAATAGCCGCGAAGTGTTACAACGGTAAGCGTTACCGCACGCGTATCTACTTCGAAATATATACTCGTATATTTTCAACACAAAATCATATTACTGTAACAATTTTCTATAAGGACTTTTCAATCGAGATGATTAAACCGCAGTGCGGTTAAATAAATGAAGGAAGTAAATTTCTTTACATTCTTTACATTCATCGTCGATAAAACTTCGATCATAGTGCTGATCCACTTGTTAGAGAATCCAATATTAGAGATTTATAGTTTCAGACAGATCGATCGATCGCGCGACAACAATTTTCTACATATACATTGCAATAGCGTATGCCGTAATAACGTTTTTATTGGATAGAAGATCGCTCGGAACTACTCCGCGCCTTATACCGAATCCCGCTTCATCGGGAATTGAGTACCGGCTCTTGTGGATTTTCTACTTGATTTACAGAGCGGCGAGGCGTACGCTGGCGAGAAAGGGAGAGAGAAAGAGAGAGGAAGATAGAAAGAGAAAAAGAGAGAGAGCAATCGATGATGTCACGCACTTGCGGTTGATAGCCGCAATCTCTCTCTCTCTCTCTCAGAGCGAGGTGCGCCGGCACGATCGACATCCGAGATTCGGACTTGGTCGCGGCCGAGGCTGCGTTGCATCGCGTTTTATAGCGCGTTTTACTGCGTGTGCTGTGGCTGACCAGTGGTCTCTTTCTCTCTCTCTCTCTCTCTCTCTCTGCACGTCGCAGATCCTCCTCTCGCTCTTCTCCGGTCTCCTCTCTTTTCTCTGTAAAGGAGGCACGACCAGCGGAGCAGGGTCATGGCCGGACATCGTCTGCCATACTCTCCTTCTCTTTCTTTTGCTCGATGCTCTACACCCACACTACATCTGTTTTACTCGCGTACAATCCATTCTCCTTCTTCTCGCTGCACTCTCTCGTAAAGTTGGATTTTACTGTGCGCCAAATATGAACCATCTCTCGAGATCTCTCGAGAAACATCCTGTTCGTCTCTCCACGATCAAATAGATTTGTAAAAGACTTTTTAAAATGAAAATTACGAGTGTACAAACATTGCACATGCACAATTTACGATGGGGTGTGTCACAGCGTATTCCATTTTCTTCAGAAGCTATTATTGCTAGAAGATATTTTCCAATTGAAAGTATTGATACTGTTAGAATTTTGAAAAATAAAGAAAAATTAATTCATGTCAATAATAACTAAGTAAATATTTATGACATTGTGTACGAATGAAGGACAAGGTCGATTAGATATTGATATTGATAGAAAATTGAAATAGCTGTAGTGCAGCGATTATGGATATCTAATAGCCTTAATACCAGAGTGAAGGATTTCATGTTTGAATTCCGATAGGCTTTGTTATCTAATTTTTCTGTCTCTTACAATGTGGAAGTTACTTGAAATTAAATTGTGAAACCTACATTGTAGATTCATTTCGTGGATAATTATACTATAATATACTATAATATAATTGTAATCTTCCGATTGTCTTTATTTCAAAATTAAGAACACATTTTAGACACATTTTGTCAAATTAATAAAAATAATACTTATTGCTTTTCACTGATGTAACATTTGCTTAGAAAGTTACATCACGCGATATTGTTATGTACAAAAAAAAACACAGAAATATATATATATGTATATATTGCAGAGAATGTCAGAGTGGTTTTGCGGCTTTTGTCGCGCTATCACTTTTGACGTCAAAGGCGTACGCTCGAGGCATTGCGCAAAATTGAGAATCAAGGTATCCAGATTTTGCTCCTTGGACTGGACCAAACGAAATGTTTCGACGATGATTCACGGCGGGACAATAACCTCCGATCAATGATATCATTTTTATCAATATGACGCAATATCGAGAGAAAGTTTCCAAATTGTCAGTAATTAACTTCCTTGAGATAAGGCAAAAAAAAAAAATACAACTTGTATATTTTATTTATTTTACATTTGTAAATATAATTGAATAAATATAATTGAATAAATGTAATTCAATATAATATTAACTCTTATTTCAAATCTTATTTATTTAATAAGAAGGAGATGGGGAACACAAGTATTAATTACTTTTAAATATAGCATTTTTTATATTTTATGCTAATTTTACAATAAGAGTGCAGTTAATATCTTCGCAACGTACATGACGTTTTCCTTTCTCTTGAAATGGCTCGTATGAATTATTTGCGACGCGTAAGAAATTAATCATTCTGAACACAAGAACATTAAAATGTCACGCGCGGATCTCTCGCATGTTTCTTGCGCTGAGCCGAATTATTTCCCATCGCAACCACGTGTTGCACTACAGAATTCTAGCCGAGATGCTATCGACCGACTTTATTTATTCCACTTACTTATCTCAATCGTCAACCAGACATTTTCAATGATCAGGTAATTTTGGGTTCTAAGTAGCATTAGCAATTAACAATAAATGCTTCGGTTATAAAATCGTAATGATTTGTGAATAAATCAAGAACTTTTTATTCCAGTTTTTATAAACTGGAGCATTTATTTTATCACACAATTTTGATTATATAATTTTGATAATATAAAAATAATATAAAAATAATAATAATTTTATAATATAAAAAAACATACTTCTAATACATATAATAACAGACTTTTTTCTCAGTTATTATTTTTTCGCTTTTTCGTTTGCTATTTTATAATGTCTAAACAATCTAGTCTACAAAAAAATCTAAAAAAAAAAAAAACACGCTGCGCTTTATAACGCGACTAACAGAAGATATAAAGGAATGATATGTGATCCATCATAATCTTTTATAATCATAAATATCAATAAAAGAGTAAATCCTCTTTCACGATTATCATCGCTCTCGTTTTGCTGCCGGTCATTATATACTCTTCCAACTATCCAATCAATAAATTTTAAAAATCGAGAAATCCTGCTCTACATCAATACATTCAAAACAATTAAATAAATCTAATTTTATTCTCACAGTGTGTGTCGAGAATACTTTTCCAACTATCGATAAATTTTGAAAAATCCTGTTCTACATCAATACATTCAAAACAACTAACTCAATATAATTTTATTCTGACAGTCGAGAATACTTTTCCAACTATTTATAAAATTTTGAAAATCAAGAAATCCCATTCTACATCAATACATTCAAAGCGATCACAAATTAATCTAATTTTATTCTTACAGTCGAGAATATCAATATTTTTTCGAACTCTTTTCGAAACACTCGCTATCAATTCTAAAACTATCGCAATCACCTATCGATTTATCTCTCATCATTTTATTATCAATCTCGCAGGGAGCGCACGCTCGGTCAAAAACATGGTTCATACCAATGTGACAATCTGTCAATCATTCCTCTATACTTTCTCTATCTACTGTCTCTTCTCTATCTACTTCCGTCATAAGGACTAGGTGTGGATATTTATTGTATATAAAGCTTTCGCTTACAAAGAGTACATTATCTAAAAATGCGCACAACTCACGATTTCGCGACGGATGATGGGCGTTCCTGCTCCGGAGGGCATTGTGCAGGGTTACGTACAGCTGGTACATCAGCTGCTCCTCCGACGACGTGTTCTCGTCGTTGTTGGGCAAAAACGGTATCGCCATGGTGTCTTCTCTCGTCTATTCTATACGGAACGGAGCAATTGCGGAGCAGTTGTAGCCCGAGTTCCAAGCTACGCGCTCGTTACCACACCCGCCTGGCCCGGGGGTTGATGCACTGTAACCGAACCAAGCAATGTTCTGTTGTTGAGTTCACTTGTTCACTGTCTACGTCTCCACTTTTCAAAGAAAAATCCCTCCTCCGCCCCTCCCCCCTCCTCTCCTCCCCTCCCCGTCCCCCCTTGTGTCTCTACTTGAACTCTTGTTCTGTACGTCGTAGAATTGTGAACGCGAATTAGAAACGCTGTGCACGCGAACAGTTTAAGTCTACCGGCTATCAACGCTCAACATTCCGGATCGCACGTGGCGCGCGCGCGCACGCTGCGGGGATCTCCCGTAAATGTTATTGCTCTACTCCCTTTTAGACGATTCTCGAAACGAAATTTCTCCCCAAGTCCCGACGAAACTGTCCATGCATCGAACGTTCTCGAGACAAAAAGGAAGGGGTGGGGAAAAAAAAATAAAAAAAGAAAAAAAACAGAAAAATCACTTTCGACAATCACCTGCTGAGAACCGTATAAAAAAACTTGTCCTTTGTCACGGTTGTTGATTTCGGCCGCTCGAATGCACTTGTCGAATGGAGCACGAAGATTTCGTCAGAATTTTCGTGACTCCACGAAGAGAAAATTTCAATGTCCCCGCAGTTGTCCGGTTGACGGCTGCACCAGTTGGTTCACGTCACTCGTAAAGATGTACAACACATACGGGGGAGGATCGCCCTATTGGCTGCGCGGGTATCACGAGAGTGTCCCGCGCGAGCGGTCACGTGAGGTGTGTGCTCCGGAAAATCTTCGGTATTGCACTATGACCGACCGAGATTGATTCGTTAATCTGCACGAGCAAATAACAAACACCGCTGGCCACTTTGGCGCGATATATATCACATACGCGTGTATTCGTGCGGTGAGAAGACGAGAATGCGAAGCGACACGAGATCTCGACTGAGCTCAGGATAAACGAGAAACACGTCTGTTCTCCTCGAGGTCTGGCGTGGTAATGATTCTGTGCTTTCACAGCCACGGTCCGCACGTTCTGCCTCACGGCAGCGCAACCGGCTGTTCCCTCCACTCCGTTTTACTCGCGCGACCGATTGGTCGAACGGTGGGGGTGCGTGCGCGCGCAACCTATGACGAGGAAATAAACTGGTGGTGGTGAGGGTAGCCGATTTACTTTGGGGTGGGGAAACGCGCGAGGAGCGTGACAATACATTGTCTTGCTCTTCGGACGCTGCGCTCGGAGCGAGCTCTCCGCTTTGAAACGCTAACATTTACTGCGATCATGTTTTCGCAATCGTCGTCAGACACCGCACGGCAGTATCCGCTGTATGAAGAGTGCTCTTAATGTATCAAGATATCGCACATCTTTACGATGAATACTTCACTATGAATGGTTTACGCTATCCAATAAGACATGTGTGATTAATAAACATTATGCATGATTGATTGCACTATGAGGAAATATTAAATGAAAAACGAATTTTTTTTTCTCTCGTCCTACTTTTTTCCATCTCGATTTTAGGTGTCAACAATTTTTCAGCGTCAAATCTATCGTGGCATATTTTATAACATTTCTCTTTATGATTCTCGCTCCCTTTCATTTCATGTTTTTTTTTTGTTTCGTTTCTTTTTTACTTCAATTTTTCTACGGCTTCTCGCGCAGTAAATGTTAATACGAGAGGGAGAGACTCGATCCGCCCTTGGAAGACGCAAGTGCAACTCAGTGGTGCGAGCGACACGGTCTCGGGACACAGTGGAGCGTGTAGCATGTAGCAGTGGGATCTCTCGACGAAGGAGAGAGTGAGAGGCCACGCACACGAGCATACGGCGCGCTCGCATGCACCTCGGAGCCTCGTGAAGGCGCGTATGACACGACAAAACTCGACACTCGAGCGCAACTGCGCAGTTTACGCGGCCGAGTACGAGCTTCGCACGGGGGCGGGG